GGCGAGGGTCTGGGGCAGGAGCCTGCGCCGAGGGAAGCGGGGAAAGGTGGAGGGGGGACAGCTTGAGCTTAAAATGGGAGGGGATGCGGCCCGCCAAAACGTCGCCCTTCTGTCGCACGTTTACAAGTTTAAAAGACGCAGTGGCTTTTGTTAACGCTGTGATCGCTCCAGTTGTCAGTTGACTCTCTCTATGAGTTGCATTTGTGCCATTTAAAAATTGTGTCTCACAGTTCCAGCTCAATTTTGCTTGTTTATATCAGTTGTTTACTGAGCGAAACGGAGGGAGGAAAAATCGAATTGCATTGTAGGCCTCATCCCGTGGCACACAAGATAAAGTGGAAAACCTGAAACTCGCTCGCTGACTGGGGTTAAGTCTGAAGTTGATAGTATACCTCTGAGACCTACCCACACAGAATCACGCTGGGTTTGTTTGCACTGGTAGGGCAAGAACCTGTTTCTCTTTCCATGTGAACAAGTGCATTTCCATATGTTATTATTTATAGTCAAAGTCTTGCTAGGTGTAAACCAGGCTTACATTTGATTTGTGTGTCATTCCTACAATATCCTTGTAATGCAGAAGATTACAAGCCTTGCCTTGCACCAGCCAGCATGCTCGAGGGATCTTGACATCAGCACTTTGTGACCAGTTGGTTTGAAGTCACTGGAACGCTCCTTGCACGTTGTTCCGCTGAGGTAGAAGAAACAGTATGTTCATGTTGTTAATTATAAGGGACAGTTCGTTCACTTGTTCTTTGCGTTATTAACAATTTTAGTCCTTCCTGTTCCTGAAATGAGCAAATGACTTTATGGTTGGTGGTGAACAGGGTGCCAGATGGAGTCTGGTGAGAGAGACAGTAGCTACCAAACAAAAGTCCTGCCTAGAACTGTTTCATTGTCAGATGAATTAACTGTATTAACGCATCTGTGTTTTAGGTTGTGCTCCCTTGAAAGGTAATTTTGAGAGGGTTGTGAAGAGGGCCTTGATGTGCAGGTACTTTTCAACTACTTTTTTTTTCTTTTTTTTCCCTTAATATTTTTAAACAGGTTATGTTTAGAAGAGAAAATTTCTACTGTGTACTTCCATGGTGTCCAAGCTCATCTATTGATACTTCCTTTGTAACTCCGTGGTAAAACAGCTTCTAAGATTATCAGTTTGGTTACCACATCATCTGGATCCAGGGGTCACTTCTAAGAAAATGTGGACTGCTAAAAGTCTTTGTAATGCTCAAATACGGTTGCTTCCGTTGAAAGAAGGCAGATTGGGTAGTTGCATGTTTCAAAAAACTCAGCAGTTCTGCATTGGAATTCTAAACTGTTGCACCATAAGAATGCCACGTAACAGAGTTAAATTCCAGGTAAGTTTTTGTGGTGCTCTAGGTGTAAGTGATAGAAATCAATACAGTGATAATATAATTTATTTTAGAATCTACAGAGCTAAGCTTTCGATCTTGCAGCCTTCATTAATAATGAATTCAAGATGGCTATCAAGGTGAAGGGGCAGGCAGCAAGAAGTTGCAGGAGAAGCAGCGTTTCAGAATGAACTTTCTGTGTCTGATAGTTCTAAGCTGGGGAGAAACATTAAGTTTTTTTCAAATTCTACTTCAGACAATACTGCTTGATAACTGAGAGGTTTATTAATTAGTGACAGCCATTCAGTGAAGAATAGGACCAGTTATCTGTCAAACTTTACTAATGCAATATTGCACAAAAAAGGGGGGCAAAAAAGTCAGATTTTACTGGATTGGGAAAGGAGGATATAAACATAAGAGTTTGATTATAAAAAAAAATATAAATCTGTGGATATAAACAAAAATAGTGGGAAAGGACACAAAATTAAGCCTAATCTTGGACACTGGCAGTTCCAAATGGCAATTTTTTTATTTTTCCAGCTGTCTAAGTTAATCTTTAAAATATAAATTGCTGCATGCACTTAATGCATACTAGAACATTGTGGTTTCAACTAGTTTAGGGGGGACTAAGCAATTGCGAAATTCGTCTAGATGGTTTTACAACTATTTTAATTGACTTTATTAATCTGTTTAAAGATAAGTCATGTTCATCTTATATTTGCCAGTTGTTTCTCTTTTAAAACAGTAATATTTGACTGTGTGATTGTAGGTCTCCAAGGTAAATAATAAACGATCGGTAGTAGATACAAGAATGGCTACTAGTGCAGATGGGACTAAAATAGCTGCTGGAACAAGTCCCAGTGGAGTATGTGATGGAAGCCAACGTTCATTAGAAGGTATTTTTGCCACCCTATTCTTATGAAGTCAGCCTTCCCTGTCCTTTCTAGACATCTTGTATTAACGACCAAGATGGTCTTAACTCTTAATTTTAAAGTTTGATATCATGTGATGTGTTTATTTTTTTTATTTTTAAGGTGTAAATAGACAATTTTTATAGTTTGCAAAGACTTACGTAATTTTCCTAAATGTCTTAATGGCTGATTGGATTGTGTACTCATTATTTTGTATTATTACTGTTTTAATTTTTTTTCTTCATCAAACTCTTACAATGCTTATTCCGTGTGACTGGATAGATGCAAAACCTAGTTTTCCTGTTCGCTTGCTAGCAACTGTGGTGACTCTTAAGTAGAGTATAATCTGTTGGATGGGTTATTGTTTTGTGAGAGCCTGTTTTTGACTGGGAGAATCAATTTTTTTAATATTCACTGAAGGCTACGAATGGTCTGTGGTGCTAGTGAACTTTTTTCCCCTGCTGTAAATCTGAAAAAAACAATTAAACATTCCTGTGTGAGTGGTGTTTTCTGATTCAGGCAAATTAGTAGTTAAAATTATGACCTTTATTTTAGCAATGCTGCCTAGC